GAGAGCCCGGAGCCACGGTGCCACGGTGATTATGTTCAAGGAACAGACCAGTTGTCTGTCATCTAGATGGGTCCTAGTGACCTTTGGAAGAAGATTATTTGAAATATGCCCAGTGATAAGAACGAAAAGGCAATTTTTTTCTTTTTTTTTTGAGTAGGAATCTCACTCTGTTGCCCATGCTGGAGTGCAGTGGCATGCTCATGGCCACCACAGCCTCGACTTGCTGGACTCAGGTGATTCTTCCACCTCAGCCTTTAAAGTAGCTGGAACCACAGGCACACGCCACCACGCCTGGCTAATTTTTTGATTTATTGGAGAGACAGGGTTGCCCAGGCTGATCTCAGCCCATGGGCTCGGGCAATCTACTCTCCTCGGCCTCCCAAAGTGCTGGGATTATAGACGTGAACCCCCACGCACGGCGGCAATTTATTTTTAATAGAAACAGCACTCCTGAGCCTCTTGGATGGTGGGATCAGACATTTTCTTTGCCACTTTTCTGGGGCATGAGGGAAATGTTGCATATAGTGGGCAACTGTTAGCTGAATAAAATAAAAAGACTCTCTGTATGTATTTATATAGCTTGCCATGTGTGGAGATTTACTTTCTAGTGTGAGTTTAAGTGGTGTTCACTGGCTTTCCCATTTCAAGCAGGTAGCGGAGTTTCCTTGGATGTTGGTATGACTATCTGCTCAGGTGGTTTACCTTCTTTTTTCAGAGAGAAAAACAGGCTTTATTTCTGAACTGTTTTTAAATTAATTAGTTTAAAAATTAACAACATTGAATATTAACAAACATCATTGTTTTTCAGTGCTGCCTTTAGGAGAATACAATTTATGGAAATGGCTTAAAAGGCTAGAAAAATACTGTTGTGCAGTATTTACAACTTGCTTTACCAAACAATAATAAGTAAGACATTCAAGCATGGGGGATCTTTTTCTCTGTTGTTATTGCCTCTTCACGTATAATAATTATTCATTTATTTTAACCAACTATCTCAGGATCAGTAGAGCTTACCAAATAATTTTTGAATGAACAGTTTTGTTACATTGTCTGGTACATTTTCTAAGCAACTACGAATTTATTTTACTTCTACGTTTAGAATCAGATTAGTGGTTCTTCTATTTATCTATCTGTAAAGCAGAACAAATTTTCTCATAGACAGTATACATACTTCTGTGAAAATTTGGATCTAAAAAAAAAAAGCATTTAAAATTTGTCTAAGTTAGGCCGGCATGGTGGCTCGTACCTATAATCCCAGCACTTTGAGAGGCTGAGGTAGGAGGATCTCTTGAGCCCTGGAGTTCAAGACTAGCCTAGGCAGCATAATATCTTTACAAAAGCAATAAAAAAATTAGCTGGGAGTGGTGGCATGCACCTGCAGTCCCAGCTACTCGGGAGATTGAGGCAGGAGAATGGCTAGAGCCCCGGAGACCAAGACTGTGGCAAGCTGTGATTGTGCCTCTGCACTCCAGCCTGGGCAACAGAGTGAGATCCCACCTCAAAATATTTATATATAAAATAAAATGTGTCTTAATATAAAAATACCACCTCCCATCTTGTTAACACTTATTAAATCAGATTTGTAAATGTTTACACTGATCATTTTTAAATCGGCTGAATATGTAATTTGTACATGGGATTAAGTGAACTATTTTAAATCAACTTCAAATTACTAAAATTTCAGGTGGTGTATCTCAAAGTGGGAGGTGCCTATTAAGGCTTTCAGAGCAGTGGTCTCTTATCTGTCTCCCTTTTGTTCTTAGAATATCTTCTTACATTCCTTATCCACAGTTGCTGAAGTGGATTGATCCCTTAATTTATAAAACATTGTAACTATAAATAAAAGAAATATTACTAGAGTTGATTTCAATATTCACAACAATCATAAAAATATTGAGCACATGAAAAGGTATACCTGAAAAGGTTTACTGGCTCAGTGAGTGACTCTTTATAGATTCTGTTCAGTGGGAGTTGAGAAATGAGAAAACTTCTCTGAAAACAGGCACCCTGATGTCATCATCTCACATGTGTGGCTTCTTGCCTCGCTGTGACGCAGAGCAATGGTGGGGGCTCCATCTCGGGGCTGCAGATGGCAGAAGGTTCTTTAGTAGGGTCCTCACCTGGATTTTTATCCAAATACTGCCAATCTAATGAGCAGATATTTCATCAAGTGACTGTAGTTAATAGACTACATGGTTAAAAATAAGACAGCGCTTACAGCTATGTGATCCCACATGGTGGATCTAGGGTGGTCACATTCACAGAGATTAAAAGCCGAATGAGGGTGGCCAGGGACTAGTAGGGAGGGAGAGTGAGACTTGTTTAATGGTGTAGAGTTTCAGCTGCAGGATGAAGCGAGTTCTGAAGGTTGCTTGTACAGCAGCGTGAAAGCACTTCACATTCTGTACTGTGAGCTTAAAATTATTAAGATGGCAAATTTTATGTTATGTGTGTTTTACCACAATTTTAAAAAATTAAAAGAAAAAGCATTTGTAACAGTGTAAAAAAATCCCCATCAAATTCCTAAGAGAAAGCCTGTTAAAAGATTTATGAAGTCTCTATGGCATTATTCAGAGAAATTAGTGGAAACAGAAATAAATGGAGGGCTAGACCTTGTTCATGGAGGAGTCCATATTTTAACGTTTCAGTCTCTCCAAATTAGCCTACATAATGGATACAACTCTTAACAATATGTTGGCAGTTTGATTTTGTTGTTGTTTGTTTTTGTGGAACTCAGCTGACTTTAAAATCCATATGGAAATGCAGAGGGTGAGAGCAGCTCAGGCTGTCTCAAGGAGCAGCAGAGCTGAGGTCTGAGATTGCTGGGTAGAGCAGGACCTTGGTGAAGATGGTACTGATCAAGACCGTGCTTATCCCGTGGGTCCTTGGACAGGCGGCGGTGGCATCACCTGGGCGCTTGTTAGACATGGACTTTCTCTGGCTGCACCCTAACATCCTATCGAATCAGAGCCTCTGGGGTTGGGGTCAAGGTCTCTGTTTTCATGAGCTCTCTAGTTATTTTTATGCACTTTAAAGTTTGAGAAACACTGAATTAAGACACTTTGGCACGGAAATACAAACCACCCAGTGGTCTAGAAACAGATCCGTATGCATATGGTTCATTTGGTTCATGATGAAGGTAGATTGCAGTACTGCAGAGAAAGGTGGACTTTTCAATAAATGGCACCAGATAACTGACATAGCCACATGGAACACAAGGTCTTCACCATAAAGCATATGACATATAAAAACAGTTTCAGACAGATCAAATCTCTAAAAGTGAAAAGCAAAACTCTAAAGCTTTTAGAAGACAAATGTAAAACCTCTTTGAGACCTTAGGATACAAGAGCTCTAACCATAAAGCAAAAAATTATAAACTATACTATGTTAATGTTAAGCACATCTTTTTTATCAAAGTTACCATTACTATTTGTAAAGCACTTAGACCAGGGCCTGACCAGCACATCGAATGTGTTATGCAAGTGTTTATTAAGTACAAATAATTACATAATAAAACAGCAAAAACAGGAGACATGGATCCACAGCAAATAACATCCTGGTTGAGAACCATTGTTGTAGAAGTTTTACAGTGAGTAGTTCCTGTGTTTCCTTCGGAGCAAGAGGCTAACCCTTCAGTTATCCAGGCTTTGGTCATCTCTGTTACTTAGGACCAGTTTTGGAGCAGACTATTCAGAAATGTTCAGAGCATTTCTGAGAAATAAATGTGAATCGTTGGGGTTAAGGTTTTAGTGGTTAAAAATTTAAATACCTGTAGGGTTCAGGCAGGCAATCCAAATGAGTACAGTGGTCTGGCATGGTACCATAAGGAGCTGTAGGTTGAAGACTTCTTGCTAACCTATCACGGGAGTTTGGAGTTATGAATGAATGTAACCAAAGACAATGCTTTAAATGATCTTAACCTAATAGTTGTTAAAGTTTACTACACTTGAGAATTACCTGGGGAGTATTAAAAAAAAAAAGACTCTCAAGAGATTTGATGTACTTTTAAAAATTACCAAAAGTTTCTCAGGTGCTTCTAATGAGTACCTAGTTTTTGAATGATTACTTGTACTAGCTAGGAGGTTCCACACCTGACTTTAGAAACAAGCAAAGGATCAAGGCTGGCATCAATTTTCAGACAAACAGATGCTTCCTCTTTATTCCAGTGATCTTTATGCAAAGGATCACCTAGAGACAACACTGGGTTCCAAGCCTTTGTCAGAGAGAGTTTCCGTTGTGTTCCTTACACTAGGTGGTCTCATTTATCACAATATATTTTGTCCCTGTTTTCACTCACTTAGTACTTGCACCGTATTTCCCACTGCGTTTGTGGCCATATTTAGTAGTTTCTCCTACATTTTCTGAATTGTTGGCAGACACAACTTTCTCTGAGGTTAGGTTTGAGTACGTGCATATTCAGGTTTTTTGTAGGTTGGTATTTGTTAAGATGCTTCTTCTGGGAAAGTGTCTTAGCTAACATTGGAAACTCTTTATCCTAACCGAGGCCATAAAGTATATGTTTTTTGGGTTTTTTTTGAGCTGGTGTCTCACTCTGTCATCCAGGCTGGAGTGCAGTGGCATGCTGCTCACAGCCACTGCAGCCTCGACCTGCTGAGCTTAGGTGATCTTTCCGTGTCAGCCTTCCAAGTAGCTGGAATGACAGGCATGCACCACCACACCCGGCTAATTTTTGTGATTTCTTGTAGAGACGAGGTTCACCAAGTTGTCCAGGCTGGTCTCAAACCCCTGGGCTCTGGCAATCCTCTCACCTCGGCCTCCCAAAGTGCTGGGATTACAGGCCGGGCCACCGCGCCCAACCAAGGGTATATTTTAGAAGAGTTTTCTGTGATAGAGAGAGAAAACAGAATAACTTTTTGCCTTTTGTTGCTGAGATTTTCAAATATGTGTTCAGCTGTCTCCTGATATTTTTGTCCTATTCATGATGGACTTGCTCAGTGTATCCCTTCTTACTGCGGTCTTTTTTCCTCCTCTTTCATCAGTGTCTGCTTTCACAACCGAAGTTCTGGGCCATTCAGACATCAGCCTTGATCCTCCGGACAAAACTTGAACGAGGAAGTATACGCCGGGTGGAACGGGCCATGAGACAGACACAGGTAGGAATTAATGTGGCCATTCTTGTTTTTCTTCCAGCTCTCTGTTGCTATTGGTAAGCACACATGTGCGTTATAAATAAAAGGATGAGGTAGTTTGCATTTTACTCAAACACTTTGTTATTATTTAGAGTATAAGTGCTAGAATTGGACTTGTTGGCACCAAAGCCCAGCTCTGTCACTTAGTAGCTCTGTGACCTCAGTATTTAACTTCTGTAAGCCTCATTTTTATCATCTGCAAAAGAGGGTAATAATAATAACTAAGAGACCTATAAGAGTTAATAAAAAAGACATACAGTTACACAGTATACGTTGTATCAGGAAATAAAATTCATCCTGATGCAAAACTATTCAGTAATAAACTAATAAGCACATGCAAAATTAATCCAGATTCAGGCATCATTCTTCATTTAATACTAATGTTTATTTCGTCAAATAAGTCAGTAGCATTTAGTCTCGTTTACACAATGTTCAATAAACTATCCATGATGTAAATTTATTACCAAAAATTGGAAATACTGCAAAAGATAGAGGATTTCATAAATTTGATGTCTTATTCTGTGCTGCTTCAACGAAATGCCTAAGACTGGGTAATTTATGAAGAATAGACATGTATTTCTTTGCAGATCTGAAGTTGGGAAGTCTAAGATTAGACACCACCGTCTAGGTGTCCTCATGTGTGTGGCAGAATCGAAAGAGCAGAACCAGCCCCTCAGGCCCTTTCCAAGGGCCCCAGTCCCTAGGTCACCTCCTGTAGGCCCCATCTCTTAGTACTGTCACGTTGGCCTTTAAAAGTCTTGGCTTGTTAATTTGGGGGGACACGTTCAGAACACAGTAGTCAATGAAAGTGATTATTTTTTAAAGTTTATTTTTTATTTATTTTTTTTGAGTTGGACTCTCACTCTGTCGCCCAGACTGGAGTGCAGTGGCCACTTCCAGCCACCGCAACCTCTGCCTGTTGGGCTCCGGCGATCCTTCCGCCTCAGCCTTCCAAGTAGCCGGAATTACAGGCGCGCGCTACTACACCCGGCTGATTTTTTGATTTATGGTAAAGACGAGGTCTTGCTGCCCAGGTGGGTCTCGAACCCGCGGGCTCAGGCAATCCACTCACCTCAGCCTCCCAAAGATGCGGGATTACAGTCTGAGCCACCGAGCCCGGCTAAAGTTTATTTTGTGACCATTTCAAACCTACACAAAAGTTATAAGAACAGTACAAACCCCCACATCCTCTTTACCATGAGACCCTGCTCAGTTTTCAACTGTCCTGATAATGTCCTTTGCAGCACAGGGATCCAAGTATGGCATTTAGCTGTCCTTTCCTCTCAGTCTCCTTCAGTCTGGAACAATCCCCGGTCCTCCTTTGACCTTGCGGGTTTGATGTTTTTGAAGATTACTGGCTGGTTATTTTGAGACAGCCCTGCCATTTGAGTTCATCAGATATTTCCTTATGATTTGGTTCAGGCTATACAATTTTGGCAGTGATATGACAGAAGTGTTGTCATACACTTCTCCCCTTGGGCAGCATTTGATGATGTTCATTTATTGTGTCACTAGGGATGTTATTTGGTCACTCAGGTAAGCTTCTGTTTGTGAAATTTCTCTCAGTGTAAAGTTACTCTTTTCCCGTTGTAATTAATAAATATATGGGCGAGTAACTTTGAGATGGTCCTGTTTATCATCCAGTAAATAAGTAAACTAGTAAACGAAAACTTTCGTCCACTAGTTTTAGTTTACTTTTGCCCACTAGTTTTAGTTTACTTATTGATTTATTAGCATTTTTTACTTACCACTATGCTAACAAGAAGTTTGAATATTAATTGTTGTTTACATTTATTGTTGTTTCATAATTATTTCATAAGTTCTTAGTTCCATTCTAATGTAGGAGAAACATTTCTCCTTCTCATTATTCCTCCATGTGCTTATTTATTTGGGTTTGTTTGTTTATAGAGATGGGGTCTTGCTGTGTTGTCTAGGCTAGACTCAAACTCCTTGGCTCAAGCAATCCTCTCGCCTCAGCCTCCTTAAAGTGCTGGAATTACAGGCATACACCAACACATCTGACCTTTCTGGCAATTTTTTTTTTTTTGAGTTAGAGTCTCACTCTATCACCCAGATTGGAGTGCAGTGGCTCGCTCCCGGCTACCGCAGCCTCAACTTGCTGGGCTCCGGCTATCCTTCCGCCTCAACCTTCCAAGTAGCTGGAACTACAGGCATGCGCTACCATACCCAGCTAATTTTTGATTTTATTGTAGAGATGAGGTCTCACCAAGTTGCCCAGGTGGATTTTGAACCCGCGGGCTCAGGCAATCCACTCACCTCAGCCTCCTAAAGCACTGGGATTACAGGCTGAGCCACTGAACCCGGCTTTTCTTTTTTTTTTTTTTTTTTTTTTAACAAAGACAAGGTCTTGCTATGTTGCTCAGGCTGGTCTTGTACTCCTGGGTTCAAGCAGTCCTCTCCCTCAGCCTTCCAAAGTGCTGGGATTATAGGTATGAGCCACTGCACCCAGCCCATGTGCTTATTTATTTGAACACGGACTCAAGGATTCTAATTTCATTTGATGAGATGTACCTTATATTATTTATTTGTCTTACACTTAATTTTTTTTTTTTTTTGAGTTGGAGTCTCACTCTGTCGCCCAGACTGGAGTGCAGTGGCCACACCCGGCCACCGCAGCCTCGAACTGCTGGGCTCCGGCGGTCCTTCCGCCTCAGCCTTCCAAGTAGCTGGAACTACAGGCGCACGCTACCACCCTGCCCGGCTGATTTTTTGATTTATTGTAGAGATGAGGTCTTGCTGCCCAGGCGGGTCCTGAAGCACACTTAATTTTTAATTGTGACACAAGTTTAGCTCATTAAAATAAGATGAGCTTAAATATTGAGCATATTATTTGTTACTGTATTGAAAATAAATCCACTATCAGAATGCTATGGTCAAAGCAGGAGTGGATTTTCTCTGTATCAGAGAATGCTGATTTTAAAGCCACAATATCTGTCCTCCCGACTTCTTTACTATCACAGTAGAACCTCCTGAATCATATCCAGGCACAGGACTTCTTACCCTCCTTGGCAAGGAAGAGGGATCATGGGACAAAGATATCTCTGGTCTAAGGTGGTAACCCCAGTTCTCCTGTTTCCCAGCCAACAGGAAAGGACACAGTGTTGGGGAGCATACTATTCCCTTTTAAGGGCATGACCCAGAGATGTCTTGCAGGCAGCAGAGCCCCTTGACCAGTTCTGAGTCAATTTTGTCTTAGTCCATTTCTGCTGCTATAACAACACCTCAGAGTGGGTGTATCTTCATAAGTCAGTTAGAACTTTTCTGTAAGAAAGATTTGTTCCTCCTCTTCCATTGACTCAGTCAGTCATTTACAACAGTGTGGGCTCATGTATATTTATTTTTATACTTTGAGTTGTAATCAAATACCATTGACCCTTGAACAACATGAGAATTAGGGGCACTGACCTGCATGCAGTCAAAAATCCATATATACCTTTGACTCCTGAAAAGTATTAACTGCTAATAGTTTACTGTTGACTGGGAGTGTTATCGGTAATTTGTGAAGACATTTATTTCTCACAGTTCTGGAGGCTGGGAAGTCCAATGGCATGGCACCAACATCCCATGGCAGAAGAGCAGAAGGTGAGAGTGAGCATGTGGGAGAGAAAGCTCTTCTCTATAACTAAGCCACTCCCACCATCCCCTACTACAACAAAAACTGTGCTAATCCATTCAGGAGGGTGGAGCCCTCATTACTCAAGCACCTCCCAAAGACCCCACCTCCTAATACTTTTTTCAGATTTTGGAGCATTTCAGATTTCGAATTTTCAGATTAGGGATGATCAAAATGTACCTCGTTCCCCTGGTAGGATAGATATAGTGAGAAGAACATTTCATCTCTGCAGCACTCTTCCCCAAAACCCACAACCCCAAGCTGAGTATGAGAGGACATCAGAAAAACCCCACTGAGAGACATCCCACAAAATAGGTGCTCTTTAGAATTGTCAAGGTCATGGAAAAACAAGGATGGAGAAACCGTCACTGATCAGAGACACTGATGAGACGTGATGACCAAATGCAGTGTGGTATCCTGGATTGAATCCTGGGGCAGTTAAAGGACAGTGGAAATATTGGTGAAATACAAGTAAAGCCTATCGTTGAATGAATAGTAACATCCAAAGTTAATTCCTTAGTTTTGAAAAATATATCATGATTAGGTAATATGTGAACATTAGGAGAAATCAGGTGAAGAATATGTAGAAACTCTGTAGAGTATCTTTTCAAAATTTCTGTACATCTAAATATATTCCTAAATAAAAAGTTTATCTTAGAAAAAAAGTGCATTGCCGGGCTCGGTGGCTCAGCCTGTAATCCTGCGCCTTTGGGAGGCTGAGGTGAGTGGATTGCTTGAGCCCGCGGGTTCGAGACCCGCCTGGACAGCGAGACCTCATCTCTACAATAAATCAAAAAATCAGCCAGGCGTGGTAGCGCATGCCTGTAGTTCCAGATACTTGGAAGCCTGAGGTGGAAGGATCGCCAGAGCCCAGCAGTTCGAGGCTCTGGTGGCCGGGAGTGGCCACTGCACTCCAGTCTGGGCAACAGAGTGAGACTCCAACTCAAAAACAAAAAAACAAAAAAAATGCATCTTTAAAATAAAAAATTTTTTAAAAAAGGCAAGACAGGCTGGGCTCAGTGGCTCAGCCTGTAATCCCAGTGCTTTGGGAGACTGAGGTGAGTGAATTTCCTAAGCCCGGGGGTTCGAGACCCGCCTGGGCAACTTGGCGAGACCTCATCTCTACAATAAATCAAAAAAATTAGCTGGGCATGGCAGCGCATGCCTGTAGTTCCAGCTACTTAGAAGGCTGAAGTGGAAGGATTGCCAGAGCCCAGCAGGTTGAGGCTGTGGTGACCGGGAGCGGCCACTGCACTCCAGTCTGGGCAACAGAGTGAGACTCCAACTCAAATAGATAAATAAATAAATAAATAATTAGCCAGGCATGGTA